GATTAGACCTTAACTGGAAGTCGTGAGTACGAGTTACCCCCCTCATTTTCCCTCTTGTCCCCACAATATTACCCTTCATACCCCCCAACGGTGAGCCTACACTGTTTTGGTTCTTCCCCATTCAGTCATTATTTTCATATTTAGTTGCATTCCCTCGACATGACTAGCTTCTCCCCTTTTTCTGCATTAGAGTCACTCCCTTTTTACGTGTAGAAAAGTCGCCTGGCCTCCCCCACTCGCTAGATCTCAGCAAAGGCCTTATTTACGTCTTTTGACGATCATAATTGTATTTAGAAAAGAATATAGATTACGATTCTCAAATTACCCCTTATTTGTCCCTTTTCTTGACTCGCGCTAATCCTTTTTTCAGGAGTTAGCATTATAAAATCTAGAAAACGGTCACAATATATATATATATATATATATATATATATATATATATATATATATATTTCACATCTATATGTATCATCGGTGAAATAAATAATTTCTGTCCTTTTATGGAGACCGATTATTTCAAAAAATTAAAGATATTGAATTGAAAATGAAAAATTCTTTATAGATTCTTTTACTCTACTTCGCTATTCACTTCAATCATTAGTCGAATGCTCTTTGATTCATTATCAATATTTATAAGGTATTCATGAGAAAATGAAATTCAATTAATTCCATTTCTTCATTTCAACAAATAAACAGATCAGCGCGCGCGAGAGCGCGCGCATATATGTTGTTAGTTTATAAAGATGACCGTCTCAGCGGATCGTTAGTTATTTGCATAAAACGTGTGAAAGAAAAGTATTTAAAGGAGTTTAATTTGAAAATGCAGCAATTTTACCAAGAATAATGATGAGATTTGATTTTTTTTTATACAATCGAACTATCTACATCACTGCAAAAACTCCGGCCGTATTTGAAGATAGACATGTCCAAATCGTAAGACCGGATTGTCCGATTTTTCATGGAACAGACTGCTATTATTTTCAATTATTCCGTGCTGATTGTTAGCATAGCGACGGAGGGGGCAGGTTCAACCCTAAGTATGTCTGACCCTCTCGTTTGGACCCTTACATCTTGATCTTTATATGTTGAAGACACCCATAAGACCACCATATAATCCCCAGAAAAACCCATAACATAAGATTACCATAAGACCCATGAAACCCCCATAAAACCCCTATACAACGTCTATAAAACCCTATTAAAACCCCATAAGAACAACATAAGACTCGTATGACCCTTACAGGACCCCCATAAACTTCGAGGGACCCCCATAATGTTGAAATTGTGAGAACTTTCGAGAAATTTGAAAATTTTGAAAATTTTAATTTTGACGCAGAAAAATAGGAATTGGTAGGGAAGTTATTGGTGCAACCCATAATGGGCTACGTCCACAACAATCCCCGTGCAATGAAAGCGAGTAAAGGGAGCGACTAACAACCCCGTCGAATTGCTAATTTAGTATTTGTCTCATAGAAATCTGATTGCATGCTATGACCATGCATTCTACATTCCTGATTTGGCATTGCTTTAAATTCCGTTGTATTTACAAGAAATTCTACCGTCTAATAGAAACAAAAAAAAAACATTTCTTCTGCGCAGTGTTTTAGGGGCGATTGAAATTACCTGCTCTGAACATATAAGGAATTTGAAGAGAGATTCTGTTATGAAGCCACATCCCAATTCCTCGAAAGTTCATTCCGGAACCGACAATGAGGATACAACTGTACATCTTTCGTTTTAACTCTTCAGTTGCTAGAAATAATAGAGTAAATGGTTGTTTCAAGAAAATTTGTTTTGTGTTAATAGGAAATTATCACTTACGACATCTGTCAATACTCTGCAACACTGCATGATCAAGACCCAAGAGTTGTTGAGGTCCAACAATAAAGTCACGAGGAGCCTCTAGATCTCGAATTGCAAGAACATTCGGCACCGCATCTACTCCATCCACAACAACTTCTTCATCGGCAGGGATTGCTGGAACTGCTATCTCTTCTTGTAACTCTAGAGTCTGCTCAAGATTTTCTTTTATCCCTCTTCTCTGGAGTAACGAAAATTACTTATTAGAGTGTAAGGAATCAGGGAATGGCTCACATAATGAATTGTGAGTAATGATATTATTCTCAATACATGATTGAAGACGTTCGACGCCCATATTGCAAATAAGAGCACTCATGTGAGGGACTCCCTTTCATAGTGCTTGTTACGTACGCTGTATTTGAAATGTGCGATAATACGTGCCAAAAGAAAAAAAACTCCGGGAAATGATTGATTTTAGAATATTTACACTTGTTTCACGCAGGTAATTCTCGTCATGAGGATCCTGTGGGTCTCCCAGGTAACGTTTTTGTATATGTACTGCGTGAATTCCTGTTACCTTGAATAGTTCTGGTTGAAAAAGGCTCAGTGGTGCCACCAAACATTCATCTCCTACCTTTAAATGGAAAAAAAGTAAGTGATTTTTGTTCGGCAATTGTGTAGAAGTTTGGTTATCGTCAGTAAAAATCAGACATTAACGCAACCGAATCGGTCTCTCTCTCTCTCCCTCTCTCCCTCTCCCTCCCTCCCGCCCTCTCTCTCTCTCTCTCT